ATCCACTCACCTCAGCCTCCCAAAGGCGTGGGATTATAGGCTGAGCCACTGAGACCGGCTCAAACAAACTTTTTAATTATAAAACAATTGAAAATTGAACATTGGGCCGGGCCCAGTGGCTCAGCCTGTAATCCCAGCACTACAGGAGGCTAAGGCAAGTGGATTGCCAGAGACCATGGGTTTAAGACCAGCTCAGGCAACCTGGCGAGACCTCTTCTCTACAATAAATTTTTTTAAAAAATTATCTAGGCATGGTAGCACACGTCTATAGTTCCAGCTATTTGGAAGGATGAGCTGGAAGGATTGCCGGAGCCCAGCAGGTCGACACTGAGCTGGCTGTGAGTGTGCCACTGCATTCCCGCCTGGGTAAGAGTGAGACCCCAACTCAAAAAGAAAAGAAAAGAAAAGAAAATTGAACGTTAACTGGATATTGATGATATTAAGAAACTATTATTAATTTTTTTAATGTATGACAAATGGTATTGTGATTTTTTTTTTTTTTTGAGTTGGAGTCTCACTCTGTCACCCAAACTGGAGTGCAGTGGCCGCTTCCGGCCACCGCAGCCTCGACCTGCTGGGTTCCGGCGATCCTTCCGCCTCAGCCTTCCAAGTAGCTGGAATTACAGACATGTGCTACCATGACCGGCTGATTTTTTGACTTATTGTAGAGATGAGGTCTCGCTGTCGCTCAGACTGGAGTGCAGTGGCTGCTCCCGGCCACCGCAGCCTCAACCCACTGGGCTCCGGCGATCCTTCCGCCTCAGCTTTCCGAGTACCCGGAATTACAGGCACGCGCTACCATGCCCAGTTGATTTTTGATTTATCGTAGAGATGAGATCTTGCCAAGTGGCCCAGGCGGGTCTCGAACCCGCGGGCTCAGGCAGTCCACTCACCTCAGCCTCCCAAAGGCACGGGATTACAGGCTGAGCCACTGAGCCCGGTGTGATTTTTTTTTTAGTTGGAGTGTCACTCTGTCACCCAGGCTGGAGTGCAGTGGCATGCACGCTCATGGCCACCCCAGCATTGACCTGCTGGACTCAGGTGATCCTTCCACCTCAGCCTCCCAAGTAGCCAGAACAACAGGCATGTGCTACCATGCCCCACTAATTTTTTTTTTTTGGGAGTTGGAGTCTCACTCTGTCACCCAGACTGGAGTGCAATGGCCACTCCTGGCCACCACAGCCTCGACCTGCTGGGCTCCGCGATCCTTCCGCCTCAACCCTCCAAGTAGCTGGAACTACAGGCGCATGCTACCACGCCCAGCTAATTTTTTATTTTTGTAGAGATGAGGTCTCGTCAAGTTGCCCATGTGGGTCTCGAACCCGCGAACTCAGGTCAATCCACTCACCTCAGCCTCCCAAAGTGCTGGGATTACAGGCTGAGCCACCGAGCCCAGTCAGTATTTTGATTTTTTTAAAAAAGTTCTCATCCTATGCCGAAATTTTGGATGAAATGATACATCTGGGAAGCGTTGCTTTAAAATAATATAGGGATAGCTGGCTATGTATGCCTGTAGTCCCAGCTACTTGGGAGAATGGGGGAGGAGGACTGCTTAAGTCCAAGAGTTTGAGGCTGTAGTGCTCTATGACATTTGTGAATAACTACCGCATTCCAGCCTGAGAACTGCACTCTAGTCTGGGCGAAAGAGTGAGACTCAAACTCAAAAACAAAAAGGAATTCCTGGCCAGGCATGGTGGCTCACACTTACAATCCCAGCACTTTGGAAGGCAGAGGCAGGAGGATTGCTTGAGTCCAAGAGTTCAGGACCATGACAAGAACTCATCTCTACAAAAATTTAGCAGGGCATGGTGGCACACACCTGTAGTCTCAGCTACTTGGGAGGCTGAGGAGGAAGGATCACCTGAGCCCAGGAAGTCGAGGTTGCAGTAAGCTGTGATCATGCCTCTGCACGTCAAACTAGGTGATAGAGTAAGATCCCAACTCAAAAATAAAATAAAATAAAAAGTTGGGCCCGGTAGCTCAGCCTGTAATCCCGTGCTTTGGGAGGCTGAGGTGAGTGGATTGCCTGAGCCCGCGGGTTCGAGACCCGCCTG